AGAGTGAATGGATAATCCGCAACGGTTTTGTGTGCGCTTGATTCTTACTGGTGTCTTGACAGTATCCTTACACTCATACAGCAATAAGTTTTGCCTCAGTGTTCGCCTTCATCTTCCAGTGATCGTTGCAGGTTCGTCTCTACCTCCCCTTCTGTGGTTCCAGTGTTACCTAATTACAACTGCAGTTCTACTGAAGTTTTTGGCTTCTATGCCCATCAACCTAGTCTCACAATAATGTCTTATCATCAACAGCCCTTTACTAGACCATCATCATCACCATCATACACGTTAGCTAGACTTGGGGAACACCTCAGCTACTGTGCCGCAATACATAGGCAAAAGGTGAACAAAGAAGCAACTGGTGCAAGCCGGCTGAGCTAGCGGTAACGCATGGGCATCGTTCCGGTAAGCTACCAGCCGGCTACTGTGCATCAAAAAATTACTGTACAAAATTATGTAAGGCTAAATAATGCGGTCGTGGTTTGAGGGCTAGGCTAAGAGGCATACGGTGGGACAGAAACTCACACCACGAACGCCACTGAGGTCGGCTCCTTGCCATATCATCAAGTGTGTCCAACAAAAAGTGTTCATCGTCTTTCGGACCCCAACCAGGGAGCCGAGATGCTCTAAATGAGGCCAGCACAAAAGTGAGGGCCTTCGTTCCTCTCGACCAAGTCATCACTTGGCCACCCCACCTCTTCTTCCATCCACACCCCCGGCGCGCAAACAACACACGTCGCGAGAGTCGGTGGGCTGGCATGCGTAACACGTGGCCGAGCCATCGGAGCGCCGTGCGTGAAATAACGGTGCTGAGTGGTTCGTTACTTTTTCCTCTGCCGTAAACAAGGCGTCGAACACGCTCGTTGCTCACGCGGTGTTCCCACCAGATGTGAGCTAAATTACGAAGGCACCGGTGGTCGAACGTAACTAGCCTCTTCAGGTCCGCTGCTTTAAGCGGCCAAGTTTCACAACCGTACAGTAGGGTCGAACGTACCGCTGCATTGTACACTCTACCCTTCAGGGCGAGAGTGATGTCGCGCCGGCGCCATAAGTGGCGAAGATTAGCAAAGCGCCTCGAGCTTTTACTATACGGTTCGTGATCTCATCTTCAATCCCACGGGCGCTGATACAACTTCCCAGGTAGTTGAATTTTTGAACGATTTCTAGCTGATGCCCATTAAGGGTCAGCGATGGAGGCGGTCCAGGGCAATCTTGGAGGAACGCTTTACACTTCGAGAGTGCGAAGCAAAGCCCGAAGCGGCTAATCTGTCCTGTGCCTCTTGGCACGTCTGAGAGCTATCACAGATTAGGACAATATCGTCAGCATACTCTAAGTCAAGAAGTCGTTCTCCTGGGAGCAGATCCACGCCTTCAAAGTCGTGTCCTGTAAACGCGATTTCCATAACTTTATTAATGGCGAAGTTGAATAGGAAAGGCGACAGCGGGCATCCTTGTCTCACGCCGCTGGAGATATGAAAGGGCGACGACAGCTTACCGTAAGCTCTCACCCTGCCCGAGCTACGCGTGTATAACGCTCGGATAATATTTACATATTTCTCAGGTACACCTTTACTGAGTAGACAGTCCCAAAGTGCGCGTCTATCCACCGAATCGAATGCACCTTTGATATCGAGGAACCCGACAACGGTGGGCCGCCAATATATGTGATGGTGCTCTAGCAACTGACGCAAGGTGAAGATGTGGTCAATGTAGTCACGACTCCGACGAAAATCGGCTTGTTCTTCCCGAATATGGCTTTCACGAGTGTCAGTCAGTCTGTGAAGGATGACAGAGGCAAGCAATTTGGACGTGATGGAGATCAGACTGATTCCTTTACGGCTGCCGGATTCCGATCGTGAGACTCCGTTAGAAATTGGGACTATGACGGAGCGGCTTCAGTTGGTAGGGACAGTTTCCTGCTCCCACAGTTTGACTAGTAACTCGTGTAAATCATCCACAAGTGCAGGTCTCCCGAATTTGAAGAGGGCTGGAGGAAGATCATCAGGTCCTGCGGCTTTATGTAACTTCAACAGTGCGACCTCACGTTCGACTTCTGAGCGAGAGGGTGGATCCAAAGGGACAGAACACTGAGCGGGGTGATCAGTGGCTGGTGAGAAATCTAATAATTCCGACCGATTAAATTGCCTTTCAAAGTGCTCAGCGCAACGCTCTAAACATTTTGGTAAGTTGTGGATACACTGTCCACTCTATTCCACTCGTTACTACACCACGCCACTGTCTTTTCTGGTGGAGTTCGGCACTCGTACTCCAAGACGAATGGGCCAACGGACTTCCTTTTCACTCATATTGGACGCAGTAGGAGTGCGTTGCATATCCGAACCAAAGGTTCGTGGACCCCTCGTGCTTATCGAACAGCCTGTGCACAGCCTCTTTCCGTTTTTGACTACAAGCTTCCAGAGATGCTAATGCAATAATCACAATTTTCACTGGAGTGAGCATAACTTCTAGCTCCAGGGTTGAAGCATCATTGCTTGGTTGAATTGGTATGAACAAGCTTCTGTGTGCGCCAGTCAACGTTAGGACATGAAGGGGCACTTGCGAATTTTTACTTATGGCTGTTGCATATGCTTCAACGGACTACAGTCATGTTATTGTCAAAGACTTCTACAACGAACGTTGTACATAACGACGTAGTTCTACCAGCTATAATTCTAACTACAGGGATATCGATACGCTATTAGTTTGCCTAGGCTTCTCAGATGCTCAACAATATGGGAAGTATGGTCGCGTATTCACAGCAGCTGTATGCTTGTCATCCGCTTTCTCTAAGCGGCAGTTTACAGCTCACTAGGCACTGACCTGTCTTTGACGCAGTCTAGCTCCTACCAACGATGGGCCCAAATCAATTGGATCGTTATAGGTTGAAGGCGATTCTTCTTCACCCATAACTGTCGCCCATCTTAGGACACCTACTGTGATTCCGATGTTGTTGCTCCGCCGATTTCGGTTTAAACTTATCGCTGTACACCGCATGCGATCACCTCGATTAGCAGCCAGTTATTTGTTAAACACGTGATCGTACAAGACTACCGGGATGTTCTACGAACACTGCTTTCAGATTCTCAATCTTACTTCGACGAGTTACTTTGAGTTAAACTTCCTCTTGGCGTTCATTATACAGTCTCATGTGGTTGCAGCGCTATCAGTGGTAAACACACTGGATACCAGATATCATTTGACGGGGAATATGGTTTAATCCTGCTAATGAATTCATACTAACAGAGCTTACTCCGACCATTGGTAATCAGTTAGCAGAAGAGTTTGATGGACTCAGGATGGTCAAGGATCTTAATAGTAAGCAACCGTTGGTTAAATAAATAAATAAATCTTTTAATTCTCGACGATGCGAGAGACTTCCCACACTGGGAAAGGTCAAAATATTTCCAGATTTTTTCATTTGGTCTCCTCTATATATTAGATGGTAATGTGCATTATGTTATATCCATGTCTGTTTCACACATGCACGTTGTTCAGGGTGAAGTGCAGAAGACTGTGCTGGGGTTATATCCTCCGTTAACGGATGTCCCGCCGATCTGAACCAGCGCAGTCTGACCAGAAGGCGGAAATGGGACTTCCTGGATGAGCCATTCTTTCAAACTCCCGCTGACGCGCAATCCAACTTCATCGATCGATTAAAACACGTCCAAAAGTCCCAGTTCGTAGTGGACTCAGGGAGGAAATGAAATAAATACTAGTATCAAGATAGGGAAGAAACGGCTAGAAAATGATTTCTAGTAACAATAAATAAAGCCTACATAAATAAATAAATAAATCAAGCGTAAATAATCCAAAAATATTGGTATCAGTTTGCAAGGAACGCAAAATTTGGCAAGCGTTCTTGTAATTTCCCTAGTAGTTGTTTTGGGACATCTAGAAATGCGGACTCATACCGAAAGCCTTACCCTGTGAGAAAAATGCTTCAGAAGGAAACGAAGATTCTAATAGCAACAGACTCTGGCGCTAAGTACAATGAGAGTGAAGGGTGCATCCTTTATTACCATGGGCTTTTCCGTGGTCATGGCCTTTTGAGTGCTGATCACTGAGACCATCCTGAACACCACTGACATCATTATTTATACTGTGACGAATACAATTTTGCACTTTGGAGTCATGGCTTTCAAGAATATGTTGGCTTCTATCTGAACTGAAAAAGAAATTGCGACATTATGGTTTTATATCGGTGATTGCACCTTAATCCTGAATTCCCACTTAAGTTATCTAACCATTGTTTTTCTTCATTTCCGGTATGACCACCTCTTCGTGGTTATGTGGCTACCGAGTCTCGATACAGCGTACCACTATAATGTTACCGGCAATAGTTTCAGGACTTAAGCCATTTTCGGTATCGCATATTATATTTCCTCTAGTTCATTCTTGCTTCGCTGATTATGGCTACTTGCTTATATACTATGACCAGCTGTCAGAGTTTGAAGTTTTGGACAAATGACGACAAACGGCACGCACTCATCGTTGACTGTCTCAAAACTACCATTGGTCAGATCAGTTGTATTTACTTTTTGTACGTAAACACAAAATGCCGATGATAGAATTACCAAGTCTCACATCGGTACACAGCGTTCCTCGGCCCCGACTGTGTGGAGTTGGTTGAACCAAGCTACTGAATCCGTGTCTTCTAAAGCGGGGATTGATTGGCGCTCGTTCCTGTTCGAAGTAATTAAGCTTTAACGGTTTACCAATGTTTTTCCTACGGATTTCTTAACTCATCAGATGTTTCATTGGATGCGCATACTGCGCTTTTGCCACTACTGCTTCCCATTACACTGTTTGTCCCCTATTCAGGTGTAGGTTTTGCCCTCATCTACTTACCAGCAATTGCAACTGTTGGACACTGGTTTCAGGAACGCCGTCCTTTGGCTGTCGGGCTGGCCTTATGTGGTAGTGGCGTGGGTTGTTTGTTGGGTGCTCAAGTTGTTCCACGTCTGGTCGATTGGTTCACCTGGCGTGGAGCGCTAATCATCATGGCAGCAGTCAGCTTTCAATGTATGGTAAGCGTGTCCTCCATTTTTGGCTGTGTTCTCATGCATTATTGTTTGCAATCATCACACCTTGAGGCCGCTCCCCTTCCATTTCCTCGGTTCGCTGTGTACCATCACACATCAATTGGTTCTCATCGCGCTCTCGTGATGATTGGTTTAGCAAACGCGTACCTATATACTTCAAGTTAGATAAATTCTGATGATTGATGTATACCATCTTCACGCGGAACCATTCACTTTCCCCCTTCTCTGGTTCCAGAGAAAAACACGATTCGATGTAAGCTCTCTATTCTATTTCCGACACCTAATGGGTTTAGGCGTTAACTCATGGGATAGCTCCAACGCCCTCGCAGGGGTCACCGGAGTCCTTTTCATAGTTCTCGCTCTGTACAGCAGCCATGTCAGAAGCCAATACACCAATTAAGTTTTTTTCCCCGTGCCTGACTTACACGTTCGGCACCCTCCATTCTTTGAATATCACTCACTCTTTACATCCCCTAGCTAGTATGTTGGCCCAGCGTTCAAGCTAAATACTGAAAGCAGAGATCTAGAGGTTGTAAAACGGTCACCTGCACGGAATCACATCACTGATTCCTGTGGGTTTGCAGCATATTATAACTGCACCATATCCTATTCGAGTGCGATACGGCGTGTTTCCATAAACGTTCGCTGATCGTTACGAAGATAAATCTGCTTGGAGAATGACGGGGGAAACGCAGTCTGCGGTTATGTCTACCCATCTGATGAAACTAGACGTCACAGTCTGAAACAACCTTCTTTTCGAGCGAACGGCCAAGACACCTAAGGCAAGGGACGACAGAACTCCCAATTTGATCAGCTCACTTAAGAAGGATGCGAGTAAATTGAAACGTCCTCGCTAGTGAGCTCAGCAGTTGCCTCTTCAATCCCCTGAAGTTGCTAATACTCCATATACGAAACTGAAGCAGTCACGCACTCAGGAGGTTGCCTCAAGTCCTTCTATGGAAAATGGATGTCACAACTGGCGTCTTAGCTCTTAAGGGAGCAGCGAAAGCACAAAGGGCGGCTGACGACGAGACGCCGAATTCAACCAAGAAGGGTGGGAGCAAATTTAAGCGCCTCCTTGAAGAGGACAAGCACTCGCCTGCTCAATCACCCCAATGGTTTAATTTGCAGCCTATGAAGCCCAAGAAATCGCGTGAAGATGAGAAAAATTCAGTCGCAGAAAGTGCCACCATGCTGGATTGGTGATCCACAACAGAAAGTTCGGCTTCTGGACATGATCCGCCAGCGCATTGCCACCTTGAATGCACGCACTTTTTATGTGCGGAAGCTGCCGCGGAGTACGTTTGTCTCCCATTTGTGACCGTTGTGTCCCACTTCAGTCAACGTTCATTTGCACCACCACATTCGATAGAGGACGCAACAGCACTTTTATCGTATTCAAGATCGAAATGCACACGAGTAGCACAAAATTCAATATATTTGGTCAATGACCATTTTGAGATAACACTCCCATGTCGAAATGAGGGTTTACGCGTGGGGCTTGCGGCTGCTCGAACGCAGTGTGAGGAGTTGCGGTCTCGTATTGATGTTGGTGTTCGTGATGGTGCATGGAGTAAGGTTGGATTGATTCGGTCCAGTGGGCGTGGACATAGCGTCGACAGAACGTGCGGATGTGTCGGCTGAGGTGTGTGTTTCGAGGACCGTGGTGTGCGAGTCGGTCCCATGTTCATCATCGACATTGGTGCAATTACCTGGTTTGTTCGGATTTCGATGCGAGAGCGGATGTGCCAGCGGTTGGTGTGCATGATTCGGCCCCGTCCTCAAAGTGCGTGAAACATGTGAGCAGTCAAAAGGATGAGGAGCGCGTGTTGGATGGTAGTATTAGCTATGGGACGGGTATTAGTGTTGCAGCACGTGACGCGGGTGTGGGGCCTGACATGGCGGATGTGTGTGAACCGAAGTCGGCATTGTTGGAGGAGGCGGATGTGATATGTCGGTTGCAGGATGACTTGACTAAACCTGGATTGGAGCACCTTCACTTGAGAGTGTGTGAGCGGGTGCGTAACTGGGAAACTGAGAGCGAGTTGATGGCTGACTTGCTTTATGCTGCGACGGATGAATCAGCAATTGATATTGTTGTGAAAGCCTCTGTGTTGAGTGTTGGTTTCACTGTGAATGTTTCGCATGTGGGAGGTGAGCGACTCACTCTTAGTTGTGGACAAATTGGCTACTGGTGACGGGTTCTTCTCGTTGCCTTCGCCGATGATGGGAACCCGTGGGGAGGAATGTGGATCTGCTATGTCGAGTGATTTCTTGTGGGACGATGTTGGGGAGATGGAGCACAGACTGGATAGTGTGTTAGCTGGTGGTCATGATGTAGGCGTGCAGAGTGTGAATGTTAGTTGTTGGATTCCAGTGACGGTGTCGTCGGTTGGAGGTGCAATGGAGTCGGCTACATCGTCGGGACCGACAGTGGTGGACGCGAAGAAGTTGTTGGGTGAGTTGGTGTGCCACTTAACTGAGGTTAGTGCGAGTTATGTGGACGGGTTATCGGAGCGTGCATTGTTGGAGTTGACGGATCGTTTGAATTGCTCGGAGTTGGCTCGTGAGGCTCTGAGTGTTCGATTGACGGATCAGCAGAAAATATTGGTTAGTATGGCTGGCGAGTTGCGTCATGTGCGGCATGTGTTGTGCGGTGTTGGTGCTAAGTTGCGGACCCTTGGTTTGGAGTGTAAGCGTTGGCAGTCGTTCGGAGTTGGATCAATGTGTGTGTACTGTGGATTCGTTGGTGGAGGCATCGCAGAAGTGGTATAGTGATAGCGCATCGGGTTTGATTGAGATGGAGTCGTTGGTGTGTGATTTGCGGGAGGAGTTACGTGTGGCTTGTGCACCGGTGTGTGCATCGGAAGGCGCGTTGAACGAGGAGTTGCGTACTCTTCGGTCGGAATACGCGCGAGTGTGGCTGTGGCGTCGAGTGCGACGTTGAATATGGAGAAGTGGGGTACGTTGACGGCGGCGACTGATCGTATGAGCGAATTGAGTGCGGAGTTGAGTATTGTTCGGCAGCGTGTGTGCGAATTGAGTTCGGAAAAGGAGTGTGGGATGTTTTGACGCCACAACTGCCGTCTCGGAATTTTTCTTTTATCAATACTTTGTCCCTGTTGCGTATTGCGGTTTACCTTTGGGCTTCACTGGTAATGATGCCGTGCGTCGTTTGGATTCCTCACCTTTGCACTCCCATGACTGGTCGTTGACTCGATCCCTTTGTTGTTTGCTTTCTCCCGTCGGTCCGTCGAACATTGAGCTTGTTACACCTGCCCTCTGTGGTGATCTTGCGGATATCACCCGTCTTTCCTAGATTTGTTCTGTTCTGCTTGGCTCTGCTGCGGGAAAAGAACACTTAAGCAATATGAAATTCCTGGTATGAATTTGGTAGGGGGAGCGTAACGGACAAATTAACTTGTTCAACCTATCTGGACATTTTCTCTGCTCTTTGACCCCAAAATGACCACTCATTATCCCTTGATTGCTTATTGGACTTTGCATGATAAAACCTCAGTTACTTTGTTTCTCCTTCACATTTGGACCTTGATTAACCACAAGAGTTTACCCGTTTTGCATCACTCAATGGTTAAGCTTGCTACTCCCGCCTTCTGTCTTACTCCTTGTGCGTGTTATACGGCCCAGTTACACACTCAGCTTCATTAGTCTGTACTGGTTCCGTCCTACTTCCTTTTGCCCGACCGAACTCTCATCCAGACATTCACACTTACTCTCGTCCATTGCACATGCCATTGTCTGAGTGAGTAAACTAGAGTCACTCACCACGCCCGCGTTCTATGTGCACTGCTTATTGGCTGATCGATTAACGATTGATCACTTCGCTTTAAACCACGCTGACATTAGAACCGCTTCGCTTCATTGTGCTTATCTGTTGGTCATTGATGTTGTCGGCACGTTGCATTGGAGAGCCGAATTATTGTACACATTTGGTCTGGAAATTGTTTGAGCACCTTAGCTCTTCCGGCTTTGACTTGTGGATTGACCCGACTGCGCTAGGAGTTGCTCAGGTTCAAAGACCGATTTGTCGGTAGCGGAATTGATCAACTATCTCTTTTTTCTAGTTATCAAAGATCAAGGAGTTGTTGAATTGCTCGCAGTCCTGCAACACACATTGCGCTTTAAAGGGGCGAAGCGTATGTCAAATGATGGGACCACCCTAGAGTGGTTATCAAGCTTTGACTTGGTCACACACACACACAATATACGTTAGTTAGAGGTGGGAAACACTTCAGCTACTTTGCGACAATACATAAATGAAAAAGAGCTTAAAATGAAACAGGTACAAGCCAGCTGAGCTACCGGTAACGGATGGGCATCGTTCCGGTAAACTACCATTCGGCTGCTGTGCACCCAAGAAAATTATTATGCAAAATTATATAAGGCTAAATAATGAGATCATGGTTGGAGGAGGAGGCTTAGTGGGATGGGATGGGACAAAGAAACTCACAGCACGAACGCCACTGAGGTCGGCTTCTAGCCATATCAGCAAGTGTGTCCAACAAAAAGTGTTCATCGTCTTTCGGACCCCAACCAGGGAGCCGAGATGCTCTAAATGAGGCCAGCACAAAAGTGAGGGCCTTCGTTCCTCTCGACCAAGTCATCACTTGGCCACCCCACCTCTTCTTCCATCCACACCCCCGGCGCGCAAACAACACACGTCGCGAGAGTCGGTGGGCTGGCATGCGTAACACGTGGCCGAGCCATCGGAGCCTGATGCGTGAAATAACGATGCTGAGTGGTTCGTTACTTTTTCCTCTGCCGTAAACAAGGCGTCGAACACGCTCGTTGCTCACGCGGTGTTCCCACCAGATGTGAGCTAAATTACGAAGGCACCGGTGGTCGAACGTAACTAGCCTCTTCAGGTCCGCTGCTTTAAGCGGCCAAGTTTCACAACCGTACAGTAGGGTCGAACGTACCGCTGCATTGTACACTCTGCCCTTCAGGGCGAGAGTGATGTCGCG